AAACGTGATATTTATTCACCTACTAAAACTCAGCTACTCAAAACTACTATACTATAGCCTAATGCCCATTCATCCCTCCACATTGAATACTTTATTCTCATTTTTGGCAAGCACACAATGACCTTGTATTATCATGCGAAATTCAAGCCTGTTGCATTCAATGTTCCTTCTAGTTTTCCATCCCTCTGAGCATTCAAGCATTGAACAACATCTGAGCAACATCTGACACGCACACGGCGGCCAAACCCTTATCACACCTGTCCAAAACCTGCAATCAAGGAATGTGATGTAGTACGTTATGAAAAAAGGAACATTACCTTCATTGCAAACTAGAACATATCATCGATTGGAGAATTAAGACACAAATAAGAGTGGCCCAACTTACTTTTATTATAGCACAAGGAGTATTTTCAGCATAATTAATTCAGTCAGTGTGTATAACTATGGTCGCATCTTGTCCACCCATCAGTAATGGAAAACATGGCATTTAATAAAAAATAAATTTAAAAAAGTCCTAGTCACCTGATATTGGAAACGCGCGAAAGAACCTCATTGAAAGGGCGTGTAAACTCCGTCCATATTTGGACTTCCTGAATGGAGTGGTCCACGCATCGCCTGTGGCCTCTCCTCTGAGGTGAGTGTGAGTGAATGCGTGTCAATACATCAAACTATCGTAGAACAACTGAGTGCACACCCTCGGTCGCAGTACTGAAACTGTAATGGAAGTGGGAATAGTCTGGTGTCCTGTTTGGCGATTAAAGTGCGGTGGAAATGAAGAGTGTAGAAATGTAGTGTGTGTGTGTGTAGTGGGCCGAGAGGGTGAGAGAAGTGCGCAATTGCTCACGGGCACAACTTAGTGCTTGCCTTTTCATTCTGCTGGATCCACACTTCTGATGCCTTCCATCTTTGCACACATTGAAACAACGAATAAGCATCTGGCTTCTCTGTTTATCATATTGTGTTTTTGTTCTATCTTTACTTTCACAGGACTTGGGATGCACTGGGCTAACCTGGGACTGCAGGTATTATATTTCATACCACATCATGTTGAAATTTGTGTTGGTGAAAAAGTCCTAGGAGCTTTGTATCCTTGACTTTTGAACCCTTGAATCTATGAAAACTCAGTTGAAATATACGTGTAACTTCAAAGGACAACGACAACATAACTACTAAAATAAGACTGCTCAAAAAAAAAAGAAAAAAAAGAAAACAATGAAAGAGAAACACCATGCTGTATTAAAACAAACACGGTCTGCTCCTCCTGTGCACACATTGGGCTCTAGGGGGTGGTGTGGCGATGTGCATGCATGGAGAAATGGAGTACAGTCAAACCTCGATTTTCGAACGTCTCTGTTCTCGATCAAATCGGTTTTCGACTAAAAATTTCGAGTTTTTTATGCCTCGGATTACGACCGAAAATCGGTTCTCGACCAAACTGAGCGCACTTGAATGTGCCACTTGACTCCTCTGGCTTTCCTTACACGAGGTAGACGAGGAAGTGATGCTTCCTCGTGTCGCGTTCCATCATGAGCAGACGTGTTCAATAAAGATTTTTTTTTTAAAAAGAGCATGGTTTCGGTTTTCGAACAAATCGGTTGTCGAACAGCCTTCTGGAACGGATTATGGTCGAAAATTGACTGTACATGCTTACAAAGAGAAAAGAAGAAAGTTGTGATTCAACTGCATTAAAAATAACTCATTTTTCAAAGACTGGGAAGAAAATGTGTCGAGTCTTATGACACCTGCGTCAATGCTAATTTTGCGTTAGCATGTCAATGGGATTTTACATTGACTTTAGCAATAGTATTATCAATGTTTTAAAAATGAAGAGAATCCCATGTCATTCTGCACATTAATCGCTTTTCTTCAATTAGAATGTTTTGAAGAGTGACAAGCCAAATTTGATCATTCTGATTAATTGCCGAGCCCTAGTGTAAGATTTTGTGTGAACGCACAATTATAAAGGTCAAAATAGTGGCTTGTACATCTTCCCCTTGAATTCACAAAAACACTAAATGCGTTCAAATTGCTTTTAGCATTGGACTTATTCAATTCAATTGGTTGTTGGTCAGTTTAAAAGGTGAAAAAGATTCTCGTCAGATTTACACGGCTCTCACTTTTGACCTGACAAAAACCTGGCTTCCAACGGAGGTGTGACTCAACATTGAATGTATGTAACAGAAACCAGGAGAAATGACAAACCTATTGTTTTGGATGGTAGTATACATACTCAATTGGCATAACTCAGAAAACGGTGATCTCAGTATTCTCTTTATCTGTGTAGAACTCCGTTTCGGAGCGTCACGCAATCTAATAAGTGATGTCAACCCAACCATTCACAGGTTGCCACTCAGTCGCCAATTGTTTTAGTCAAATCCAGGGGACAGGAAGGTGACAGAATCCAAACCTTTAAGGTAGATAATGAGCCACAATAGTATTTTTCTATTCAGAGTCGGTGAGCTGAACAGTTTAAACACAGAAACATGCAAAAATGAAGGGGTGGGGGCAAAAAAAGAGAAATCAGTACATTCTCTTCAAAATCACTGGTAAGAATTACAGGTATTTGAAAGTGTTTTAAAATGGTAATGAACCATATTTATCCCTTAACCCTAATAACATGATAAGCTGTCCACTGTAGGAGTAACTGCTGTCCCAGAAAGGGTTCGTGTTCGATTTAGTATGAAGTCAATTTATTCTGGTGATATACTGTAGTTCAAGAAAAGCCAGGAGAAGATGAACGTGGCATTGCTCTTTGATTCTGTTTGAGTAGTTCCAATCAAAATAAAAATAATAATAATAATAACAATAATAATTTCATTTCAGCAACTGCTACTAAGGCCAAGGACGCGGAGATTGAATAGGTCCCTCTATCAGGGTCACAGAAAGGTTGTTATGGTTATTTTCCTTTACTTCATTTGTTTATTTCCATCATCATCTTTATGATTATTATTTGTTTTTTCATCATTATTATCATTAGGATGATGATGATTATCAGTATTGTGTGTTAGGCTGCGGTGAGGAATAAGACGGCCTTCTCGAGTTTAAAAACTGAGAAATAACAAATGCACACGATAACTGAATGCAGTTGTGATGAGAATAATTATTTTAGTCCCTGAGACACGAACCAACCTTTATTCCAATCCTGTACTTGCCATTAATCATTCAGCCCTAATCCCTTTAAATTATTGAAGCGGTTCCACCAAGGGACTCGGGTGCAGGCAATTTGCAGGGTTCAGGACCAGACGGTACTAATCAGAATGTGCTACCACAAAGACATAGTATTTAGGGAACCGGCATGTATAATTTCAAGATAATTAATGAACATGTTCACTAGTAACAGGACTGAAGACAGTTTTTAAATGTTTTTACTGATCCACTGATAATTGGAGGTGAATGACAGGACGTGTCCTTTTTATGCGCCACTACGGTTACAAATAGAGTTGGCGTCAATTTATGGAGGTTTTCCAAAAGAGCCCTAATCTCACAAACCTGAGGACACTAATACTGAGAGAGTCGGTGGCATGCTCGTGCGCTGCTAATCTGCTCAGACTTGAATATGGTTTGTCCATGAATTCACTGCACTTTAAACGTATTGGAACAGTACACAGGAACTTCAAAAAAGGATTTTTAAGTCAGAAAAAGTATTGGTAACAGAAAGACTAGTCATAAATCATTTGCTTGTAATAACGCCATCCACCTTTGGTATCACTAAACTGCTGCTTTTTTTTTTTATTTATTGGTGACCCTTTTCCAGGCTTTCACTGCATCTTCTTTTAGTTGTCTTCTTCTTTTGTAATGCTAGTCCAACATTTTTTTGCTTTTTAATCATAGGGCAGGGATTTTTTTTTTCTTTGCTCCCATGATCCGAGTGACTGACATTTCTTTGCTTACTATCAGTTTCCACATTTACTCATGGAGCACTGTTTTTTTTTTTTTTTTTTTTTTAAACAAGCTCCTGCTGCCTCGTGGGCACACTGAGGCAGAACCGATGACATCACTGACAGCCTTTATTGCCCCATCTTTGCCGTGAAGCAAACTTATATAATTTATACCAGGGGTCCCCAACCTTTTTTGCCCCACGGACCGGTTTATGTCAGACAATATTTTCAGGGACCGGCATTTAAGGTGTGGCGGAAATAATACAACAAAATAATATGGTATGAGCTGCATGAAAACTGTGGTGTTTTCGAAATATAATAATAAACACAAGGAGCGTCTAATCTGGCCGCAACACTCCAATCGCTATGGCAATGTTTAATGCCTTCAAAATACGATACAACGCAAATTCAAAGTGCATGAAAATGACCACTCACCACAGCACCGAGCTTGATTTTCTGCAACCAGACGGTCCCATCTCGGGGTAATAGGAGAGACAATGACACCGCAAGTGTGTGGTTTATGTCCAGTCTACTTCGTAATTTTGTTTTCGTCGCCGTTGCTGCATAATCCCCCCCGCCTCACACAGGTAGGATGTCGGAAATAGCAAAAGTGCTATTGTGGCGATCTCAGAGTATTCAG